TTCCACTTAGGGGCAGGACAAAGAGAGACTCAACCCACTTTTGGTGAAATGGTGGCAGGCCCCTGGAAGGTCCAACATCATGTCATTTTATTCAAGATACCTCAACTGAATCCCTGCAGATTCAGGGATTCTGGGTGCTCTGGGCTCTCTGGGTGCAAAGTCATAGGAGCAAGTGTGCAGACTCTCCAATGTGAGATCTTGGTTGTGCTTTATAAGAAGATCCACTCCCTTGTCTATGTGTCAGCAAAGTCATTTATTCTCAGGCCTATCTCTTCTTGTATAGTATAAGCAACTAAAGGGCAAGGTACGTAACTTTCATTTCTGTGTCCCTCACAGTACCAAGCAATGCATCGCACAAAGCAGGCCTTCAAGAAAAGATGGTCACATGGATGAGGGAATTGACAACTACAGAGAAAATGGTAAAAATGAAGCTAAACCCCAAACATTAGGGCAGGTGACTTTTTCCTGGTCACAGAAATCTGAAAAACAGCTGAGAGATAAGGAGAGCACCTGGATGGTACTTTGAGCTCATACTCTGAGCTTGATGGAGGGATTGGGAAACCTGGCTATCCACCTCCAATTTTCTCAGCTGAGGAATTTAAAGCACTTAAGCTATCTCAAAAGCCAAATTCCCTTCCTCAAGGTACAGCTGGGACATGACTGAACACCCCAGTAATAGTTTTTCAGTTATGGGGAATGGGATGAAGTGGGTCCTGGTTTTGTCTCCCATTCACCAGAAATTCTATTAGGAAGACCTGGAAGTCACCTTTTCTGCTTAAAGGACTATGAGACTTAATAAAGCCTAGCTGGAAACACAGCTCCTGGCACCAAGCCTTTTCTCATTTCCTGGATCTTATGTAAATCAAATATTACCTCCTCCTTCCTTCGGTAACCATACTTCATTCAGGTCTAAGATTTCATGGTCAAAAACACCAGCAGAAAACTTTAAGACAACTTATTCTTCCCAGAAGTTGTAGGGAGTGCGGAAACTTCTGGAACATGCATGTCCACACCCCAAGTAAGATGATGACTGAAGGTGGTGAAACTGGAGAGGGAATCACACCAGATTCCAAGGATGCTGGACCTTTCATCACATTATGGCCAACCACGGGCCACACCTGAACCCTATGGATTCCCGGGCCACAAAGGATGAAGCAACACAGGATAACAGCAGTATGTAAACCGACTTCAAAGACACTTCGACCATGGGTCCAAATCATGAAGAAAGCATGAGAGCAAAGCAAAGGTGGGCAGGCAGACCCTACTCTGTATGCCTAATGTCTAGGGGAGAAAATGCTGGCAGGGCCTTTGAGAAAGCATCCCATCACAGCAAGAAGTCCATGCAGGCTACTGTACCTCTCGGGGAAAAAAGGCAGCAGGTACCAATATCCTATTTTATATTCACTGTTCCAAAGTCCTTCACTCTGCTCAAGATGCATATCTTTGGCAAGGTGTGCTCAGTATTACAGACAAGGAGGCACTGACCAGTGAGAGACACAATAAAGCATCATCCTTGCAAAGAATTCAAGGTTTATAAACTACTTTCACATCTCTTTTCGTTGTTCCTTACATCAGCTGATGATTGAGCCAGGCAGTTATTACCACTCCCACTTGCCAAACAGTACACCGAAGGTCTGAAAATGCTAGGTGACTTATGGCTAGACCGACGGTTTCTAACTGAAGAGGCAGAGATCTTCCCTTAGAATCCCAGTGAGTGACCGCCTACAGGCAGATTTCCCTGCAAGCTAGACTCTGTCAGGGCTCTGGCACTCCACTCATTCTCATGACCCTGGGCCAGTTACTTCACCTCTCTGAGCCTTCACTACATCTATCAGCATCACCCAGAGACTGCTCCAAGGCAGCCATTTCTGTGATAAGATGCTCACATGGTTGAAGAAATTTACGGTCTCTTTTAGAGATTCACGGTGCATATGCTTTACAGTTAAGCCTCTGAAGGGTCCCACAGTTAAGCAGCTTGTTTAACCCTAAGCCTCCTATACTTCAAACAGCACAGCCTTTCTTATTGAATATCTGTTCATAGAAACATTATCTTATCGCATCTTTCAGCCTCCAAATTCTATTTTCCATCTCTGCTCATCAGTCGTGAACCACCCCCATACTGTACTCTGAGGGCAGGTGTAGTCAAGTCAGGCTCTGGATGGGAGACACTGTGCCCTGGACAGCTGAAAGACAAGCCATGTGGGCTAGTCTCCTCAATTCCCCGTGTTTCTCTGAACCTCTGGGCAATCTCTGAACAGGATTTTCCCAAAACCTCTCCCTACACTAGAAATTGAGGGCAAAAGTTAATCAAAAGTTAATCTTTCACTTTATATACTGAGCAGAGGCTAGAAATGGATGTGTGTGTCCCCCACCCCCTAAAAAAAAGACAAAGATTTCAGAGGGATAAAGGAGAGGACTGCCATGATTAAAACTTCACCACTAGAGCTGTTCAAATAAACAAAGAAAAACCTGTGGTTGGAAGAGCACTTTTTGATACCCATAGGACTGAAGGGTGTCACTTTTTTAAAGTGGTGTAACTCTTCTGGATAATTCCTTATGAAAACAGAAGAACTATCATAATTAGCTGAATTTTCTAATTGGATTTTTACCTCTTGATCCAAATTACATTTTCACATGCAAGATCCTCTCCTGTAATGTTAAGGAATTATTGTCAAGTTTTTAGGCTGTGCTATGGGAGAGCGGTTATGTTCTGGAACAAAGTCCTTTTATCTTTTAGAGATTCAAATGGAACTATTTATGGTTGAGACGATAGGAAGTCTGCAAAATGCTTCAAAATAATTGCAGTGGGGATGAATGGAAGTTAAAGTAGATATAAAAACAAGACTGGCCAAAATGCTAAACTGCTGAAGTTAGGGGGTAGGTACGTAGGTACTTCATTGTATTATACCATTCTCTTTAGCGTTATTTTTGCAAATGTTTAAAATGCTCCATAGTAAAATAAAGGATCTTATTCTGAATAATGTCCATTTTTTACCCTAAATAATATTAAGTTTTAGAAAGCCCTAAAAGAACTATGGAACATCAACAGCTTGAGTAACAAAAGAAGAACATAAAGTGACATTGATCAAAATTAAAAACAGCTGTATTTTAAAGGACACCATCAACAAAGTAGGAAAAAATCAACAGAGAACAGGAAAAAATATTTGCAAACCATTTATCTGATAAGATATTAGATAATGATATCTGATAAGTGTTAACTGTGGGATTCTTCAGAGGCTTAACTGTAGAACACATGCATCATGAATCTCCACAAGAGATGGTAGAAGACTCTGACTAAGAGAAGGTAGACTCTGTGGGCCTCTTACAGCAAAAATGACTAGGCGAGCTAAAATAATTGGCCCTGGGTCACGAGAATCAGAGGTAGCATGGCTAGGTTTAGAGCGCCAGAACCCTAACAAAGTCTGGTTTTAAACGAAAATCTCTCCTTGAGCAGTCACTCACTGGGATTCCATGAGAAGACTGCTGTCCCTTCAGTCAGATAAGACTGCTTATTTTAAAGTAAGCAAAGGATTGAACAGGCATTTCTCCAAAGAATATATGCAAATGGCCAATAAGAACACAAAGAGATGCTCAGCATCACTAGTTATTAGGGAAACACAAATCAGAACCACAATGGGATGCACCCACCAGGATGGTTATGATTATTAAAAAAAAAAAAAAAAGGCAACAGTGTTAAAGAGTATGTGGAGAAGCTAAAATCCTCACAAATTGGTAGTAGGGATATATAATGGTGCAGTCGCTATGAAAAAAGTTCCTCAAAAGTTAAACAGAGTGATCATATGACCTAGCAATTCCATTTCTAGGTATATAACCAAGAGAAAGAAAACATATGTCCACTCAAAACTTGTATATTCATGTTCAAAGCAGCATTATTTATAATAGCCCCGAAGTGGAAAGAGCCCAAATGTCCATCAGTTAAGAACTAAATGTGTTACATACACACAATGGAATATTAATTGGCCATAAAAAAGGAATGACATATGGCAGCAACAGAGATGGACCTAGAGATCGTCATACTGAGTGAAGTCAGAGACAAATATCATATATTATTTATATGCAGAATCTAAAAAATCAGTACAAATGAACTTATTTGCAAAACAGAAATAGTCAGAGATGCAGAAAACAAACTTATGGTTACCAGCAGGAAATACACTGGAAGATTAGGATTGGCATATACACACTACTGTATATAAAATAGATAACTAGTGAGGACCTACTGTATAGTACAGGGAAATTGTCTCTAAATTCTGTAATGACCTATATGGGAAGAAAAATCTAAAAAAGGAGTGGATATAGGTATGCATGTAACTGATCTGCTTTGCTGTACAACAGAAATGAACACCAGCTTCCCTGATGGCTCAGCAGGAACGAATCCATCCGCAATGCAGAAGACATGGGTTCAATCCCTGGATCGGGAAGCTCCCCTGGACAAGGAAATGGCAACCCACTCCAGTACTCTCGCCTAGAAAAAATGACATAGACAGAGGAGCCTGGCAGGGTACAGTCCATGGGGTCACAAAGAGTCAGTCACAACTGGGCAACTAAGCACACGTGCACGGAGGAACACAACACTGTAAATCAACTATACTTCAATAAAAATTTTTTAAAAAGGAGTGACTTACTGACATGTTACAACATGGATGAACCTTGAAAACACAATGCTAAGTGAAAGAAGCCAGTCATAAGATAACACATGGTGTATGAGTCCATTTACATGAATTGATCAGAATGACAAGTCCACAGAGACAGAAAGTCAATTAGTGGTTGCCAGGGATTTGGGGGATCTTGGAAGGAGGGGTGGGAATGACTGCTGATAACAGCACTTCTTTTGTGATCGATGAAAATGTTCTGAAATTAGATAGTGGTGATGGTGGCCCAAACTTGTGAATATACTAGAACTCACTGAATTGTATATTCCAAAAGAGTGAATTGTATGGTATGTGAATTATATCTCAATAAAGCTGTATTGGGGAAAAGTGAGCGAGCTCCCAGGAGTGCAGAGGAATTCAAGTGTTTGCGGAGGAATTCAAGTGTTTGCTGCGGTAACTTCATCAGTCCGCCAAGATGGCGATGCAAGCGGCCAAGAGGGCGAACATTCGACTTCCACCAGAAGTAAATCGGATTTTATATATAAGAAATTTGCCTTACAAAATCACAGCTGAAGAAATGTATGATATATTTGGGAAATATGGACCTATTCGTCAAATCAGAGTGGGGAACACACCTGAAACTAGAGGAACAGCTTATGTGGTCTATGAAGACATCTTTGATGCCAAGAATGCATGTGATCACCTGTCGGGATTCAATGTTTGTAACAGATACCTTGTGGTTTTGTACTATAATGCCAACAGGGCATTTCAGAAGATGGACACAAAGAAGAAGGAAGAACAGTTGAAGCTTCTTAAGGAGAAATATGGCATCAACACAGATCCACCAAAGTAAACGTTTTCTGCATTTTCACTTTGGACTAAAACCCATGAATGACTACCACTTTTTTTTTTCTTTAAATGCTGAATATTGTGATTTCTTATTTGAGATTGAAAAAGACCCACTTGAAACTGATATATGTTAGAATATATTATGTTAATATTTCTTATTTGAGATTGAAAAAGACCCACTTGAAACTGATATATGTTAGAATATACTATGTTAATAAACTTGTAGCTTTTGGTAAAAAAAAAAAAAAAAAAAGCTGTATTAGGTCTGGCATCCTGCAGTCCATGGGGTCGTAAAGAGTTGGACGTGACTGAGCGACTAAACGACAACAACAAAAGCTGTATTACAAAAATAAAATAAAAGCAAGCCTCAGAAAGCATTCTCAACTCAGAACAGGAAGTACCAAACGGAGGTTGGGGACTGGTGTCAAGAAGCCTCAGGGAGCCCCTCAACTCAGTACAGTACATTGTGAGCTGAGCAGGCAGATCTGCAAGTGGCGGTGCTGTGGACAGAACGAACCATGATCCAAAACCCCCCCCTCTTTTCCTCGCTCAAGAGGGTACAATGGTGTGTATATCAGAATAGCATATATCCTAACTTACCTGCTCTAAAAATAAATAATTTTACACTTTATTATTAGAAACCAATTGTTTTGCAGCCAATTAAGCTGATCATTGGAAACGGAAATGGCAACCCAGACCAGTGTTCTTGCCTGGAAAATCCCAGGAATGGAGGAGCCTGGTGGGCTGCCGTCTATGGGGTCGTACAGAATCGGATATGACTAAAGAGACTTAGCAGCAGCAGCAGCAGCAAGTTGATCACGGGAGCCTGGTGCAATGGCTGCAAACAGCAGCCTCCTCGGTAGTGTATGCAGCCTGGTGCCTGTGCAGGTTGCTCAAAAGGATCCTGGGGACAGCCCTTTCCAGGACCTTCAAGACTGGCATGCTGTCCCCAATCAAGGTTCCAGACCAGTAGGCTCAGTGTCTTTGGAAGGCCCCAGTGGCCTTCCAAAGGGCACAATGGTCAGGGTCCACGTTGGTCAAATTATGTCTGTCCACACCAAGCAGCAGGACAAGGAGTATGTGACTGAAGTCCTCCTCGGGGCTAAGTTCAAGCTCCCTGGCCATCAGAAGATCTACATCTCCAAGAAGTGGGGATTTACTAAGTTTAACGAGGATGAAAACATGGGCACAGAAGAGCGGCTCACCCCGGATGGCTGTGGGGTCAAATACATCCCTAATCATGGCCCCCTGTACAAATGGCAGACCCTGCACTCGTAAAAGCCATGGTGCTGTCTCCTCCTTAATCATACCCACCCGTAAGTCCTACTTTCCTGTCCAAAATAAAATTGCTGAAAAAATACCTCTCACCTGATTGCCAAGGGGGATGATATGTAAAGTGATTCATGTTCATTCTAGACAAGGAGTAAACCAAAATGTATTCTTAAATCCCTCCACCGAAAATAAGTCTTGGGTCAGTAAGGGAATGGAGAAGGCTTAATGTTCACCAGAGCTAAAATAATTAATAATAACAACAAAGGTTAACATTTGCCCAGTAATTACTATGTGGCAGGTACTGCCTATAGGCTAGGTGCTAATATCCCATTTTACAGATGAGGATACTGAGTTAACTAATTAGCCCAAGGTTATATGGAAGTAATCTGGCTCTAGAGTCTGCACTCTTCAACAATGCCAGTTTTAAGCATCTCTTCTTCTGGGATACCACCATGGAAGGGTGGTAGTTTCGGCTTGAAATTAAACTTGTCTGCCTCACGGCAACTAGCCAACAGTTCCAGGCCACCTGCCTGACATTCTCAAGGGGACCACAAACCATTTCTTTTAGCAAATGGGCAGGTATTTCTACCCTCCTCTGGCTACAGGCTCACTGCCCTTAGTGAATCCTGCTCCACAGCAAAGGGAGCAACCAGTCTGCAGACCAGGAGGAGACCTCTAGGCCTTTGAGGAAGTAAACCGAAATGTTTTCCAGGAGTCTGTGTTAAGAATCAGAAGACACATCTTCAAGGATAAGCAGAAAGTGCAGGTGAAGAAATGATACTCACGTGTGTGGGGAAGTAAGCCCTACTAATGGGAATGTGAACTGATATAACCGTGTTGGTAAGCAACTTGGCACTCTTGGCTCCGAATTCCAAATGTCCACACATTATAACCCCATAACCCCAATTTCACTTCTAGGAATCTAGCAGACTGCAGACAGAAATAAGTGCAACAATGGTCTCTATAGCACAGTGTGAAAATGCTGTGCTTGGACACAATGTATGTTCATTAATGGAGGGGTGGTTAAATAACTTATCATCTAAAGCAATAACATACAGGCATTAAAAAAAATCACACGGCATACATGCCATATGAAAAGAAGCCTACAATATATGAAGATTTTTAAAAAGTGCATATTGTTAAAATACTACATGTAAAGTATCCATTATACTCTAATGGCTCACATGGGCAAAAGAGTCTAAAAAATAGTGGTTATATGTATAACTGATTTGCTCTGCTATACACCTGAAACTAACACAATATTGTAAATTCAATAAAATTACATACTCCAATAAAATTTTTAAAAAAATGAAAGAAAACAAAGAATGCTACCCATACCAACAATTTCATGTATTTTATGTGTATATAAGTTTATACATGGGAGTTATATTACTGTATCTATAAATATGCAGCATAAGCAGAAAAGCCACCAAAAATACACACTAAACCACAAACTTTCAATTTTTCCTTTAAGTATTTTTGTATTTCTCTGTTACTTACCATTGTTATGAGCCATTGTTATTTTTGTGTAATTAAAAACTGATGTGAAAAGGTAACTTAAAGCCCAAAGAAAAGTAGCAATCGGGTCTAAGAAAGGAAACGGAGAGACAGCCAGAGTGGACCTTCTGCCAAATCGGGTCAGAGCAGGTTTTCTGCTCCTCCCCTCCATCCACCGCAACAGCAACAAGGGGATATGCATATTTAAAAACAAGGGACTCGAGAAAGAAGAAAGAGGTACACAGGATGAACTTCTTACACTATTCAACTCTATATTCAAGTCCCCAAGAGCTACAGTGCTCCAACATCCCAGTGCAGAAAGCCAAATATTAACTTTTTCTCCCAAATAAACCACAAATATGTAAATCCGACTGATAAACTAAGCTATGGTGCTTTCATTCTGTGTTTGGTTGGTTTTTAACACAACCGGAGTGAAATTGCCAGGTGAAATCTTAGATGAGGAATGTAATTTTTAAATGGTGGACAAAGAACAGTTATGTACAATTTTGAAAAATATGATTATTTTCTCCATGAACAGCATGCCTCTGATCTATAAGACGTATAATAAAATACGAGTTACAACATAGTCTGTCTTGCTCCATATTTAAAAATCAAAACAGATATGTTTTTATAACTTCACTCTAAGAATCATGCTTCCAAGCCACAAATATTCTTACAACATCTTACATTTACTCTCATCTCTTCCAAAACAAATTTAAATTCTTTAAAACACCTATTGTGAATCAAAACTGAGCCGTGGCACTATGAGTGATGATGGCACCAGGAACAGAAGACACAGCTCATCTGCTGTCCCACAGAAGAAAGTATGGAAAGATGAAAACCATGAGTAAATAAATCCGGCTATGGGAGTGTAGCTGAGTAGTGAGAGGATCGAAAAAAACCCCATCCAGGCAAGACTCACAAGTATGAGAGGATGACAGACTTTAATTCCCACACTGGGAAAGCCCAGAATTGTATCAACAAGCTGCAGAATTCAATAGAATGAGATTTGTTTCCCTTTTCCTTACCTCCCAGGTTGCAGTATTCTGGATTTATTTGTATTTCTTTGTTTGTGGTTTCCACATTCCATGTGGGTTTTTGGCCAGACTTTGCTCCACCCAGTGGATCTGTAAAGGATGGGCCAAAAAGGCGGTGCCCACGGCTCTGTTGTGTGCTGCTGAGCAGACAGGTCACCCAGATCCACTATCACCACTCCCTGTCACCCAGTGGCCACGCTGTGTGGTCAGAGGAGGCTCGGTGGCCCCAACAAAGCCTACCATTGAGGTTGCAGGGCAAGGAATGAACCCACGTCACTGGACTACCTGGTCTTCACGGTCCCTCAAACATCAGTCCAGCTACTTAAGGCAAGAAAGAAAGAGGCCCTCAGGTGCGTGACTTGGCCAGGCATTCTACAGGAGTTGGAATTTTAAATCCAAAGCCATCTAAGTTCCCCACAGCACCCACAGAGTAGTCAGCCTGTGCCCGGTATCCACAGACGAGCTGCATCCTGGGGCCTGGCAAAAAGGACTCTCCTCCAGACACAGCCCCACTGAGGTCCAGGACCGTGAGCTTCCATCATGGTGACCAGAGGACATCTAATGGTTTCTGCAGGCTGAGCATGTGTGAGAACTAACATTCATGAGGCCAAAAATGAGAGGAGAGCCAAGACTTGGAATGAGGAAAGGAAAAAGTTCTAAGAACATGACTCAGTTCAGAGTGATTATGGGACCATGGAGGACACAGAAAAGGAAGTAACTGGCCATCCCGCTTTCACTGGGGCGAAAACAAACATGTTCTTAAAGTGAAACCACAAGGGTAGACCAAAGTGAGAGGAAAGAAAGTTCAAGATGGGGTGACTGAGGGAGGCTCACCTGCTTACTGAACCACAGACTGAAAAAAAATGTGCTTTTGTTAAAACTGTTGATGTTGGCTGAGAAAGTGGAGCTGACTGGTAACTCACGTCAACACATCAGAGAGTAATCAAGAGTCAGGACATCAAAGCTTTAAACTGTCCCACCTGAAATTTGTTGTCAGAGGTTATTTCACACACATCTCTTCATAGGAAAGAAAGAAAGAAAGTGAAGTTGCTCAGTCATGTCCAACTCCTTGCGAGCCCATGGACAGCAGCCTGTACCAGGCTCCTCCATCCATGGGATTTTCTAGGCAAGAGTACTGGAGTGGGTTGCCATTTAAAGCTGACCTCAAATCCCAAGATTCTGAACAGGAGCCGGTAAGGGGACAGCAGGTACCACACAAGGATTCCTCCTCTTTGGCACTACTGATATTTTGGGCCAGACAATTCTCTGTTGCTGGAGGGACTACCCTCAACGTTTAGCAGCACCTCTGGCCTTCACACAACAGATGCCAGTAGCGCTTCTGAGTTATGACAATCACGTTTCCAGGGACTTCCCTAGTGGTTCAGTGGTTAAGAAACTCTCATGCAATGCCAGGTATGTGGGTTCC